GCTCTGCCTCTGAATCTGGTCCATTTTGGGCTTTCCTCCTCTGTGCTCGCAGCCCTGCTGTAAGTGCTGCAGCATGCAGAGCACCCTGGGGCTGCTGACCAAGAAGTCGCACAAATAGCAGCCCTGTTATAAATCTTCCTGGGTCATTAGCAAACTATAAAGTACATCATTATCTTCCTGTGATGAAAGTACGCGACCCTGCTTCTTTACAATTATCTAGGAGGAGCACTTATTGAAGGCTTCCACTTTGTCTGCTTTATTAATTTTTAACTCTTTATCTTTTAATGGGCCTTTGCTACTGTGAGACTTTCTCCTGCTACTACTGTTTTTTTAATAATTCTGCCAGCATTTTTTCCTATAGTTGAAGAGACTTCTCACCTAACCAGTTTAGTTGTGGATGTTTCTTTTACGTCTTCCCCATCTGTTACCCCTTTTCTCCTCGCTTTCACCCGCTGCTGGCTCAGTCTGATTATGTTGGCTTTGCTTTTTACATTTTAACTTGAGTCTTTGCTTCATCCTCCTCTCAGGGAACCTTTTAACGCAACTGTTTGCTGTGGCACTGGGGTTTTCTGGCTGCCTAATAATCTTCTTCAAGAACTCACTGCTTTTATTCACTATTTTCTCCCCACCTAGGGGTTTTTTTTTCCCCCCTCTGACTATTTTGCTTATAGTTTTGTGGGGAAGTTTCTGGTGTGGACACATCAGACATATCCGTAACCGCTTGGGGCCACGCTCTGTTGCCCACATTAAGTGTACTGAGGTAATTTCTGACCTTGAAAAACCACCGATTTCTGCTCCAATGACTGATCTTTATCTGTCATAGTGAAGGCTAAGCCGAGATTGAGTGGCTGTTGTATGGAGGAGTTACAAGCAGTAGAAACACTCGTGATGAACTAATGCCAATGTCAAGAAGTAACCGCGTTGGCGAGCATCCGCAGACAACCTGTGGAAGGACACCCCTGTCTGAAACAACACACCCAGGGGCTGTGTCATCACCCAGGAGAGCAGTGATAGCCGAGACGTGAGGCAGGTGGGTGGAAAAGCCTCAGCAAAGGTGAACAGCTTCAAATTTGGATGAGCACAGCACCAGGATTGGGTTTCTAGGCACCACCGATGGGTGCCCTATGGAGAACCCGGTCTGAGCACTCGTGCAAGGGATGAAGCAGCTCTCGGTGTAGCCTAGGGCTGGTTCCTTGCTTTCAAGGAGTAGCAGTGATGGCAGCATCTTTACACTCAGAATCCTCTTGGGAGCATCAAGAGCTAAGGAAGTCCACTGCTTCCTGGTGTTAGCGTAAAACCTTAAATAAACTACATAACTGTGGAGAAGTTTGACAAGAGGCGTCAGTTTTTACTGTTTTTGTAGACTAGCACAGTCTTTGCCAGCAGGAGGGAAAGCATTTAAGAACCTGGAATTGGAGATTTGGAGCAAGTTCACACCACTTATTGGAAAAAGACCACGAGGAAATAAGTCGTTGGCTGAAAATCAGAACAAAGTAAGTTATTACAAGCGTAAGCGCATCCTTCAAAAAGCCAGTGCTGCTTTCAAACGAGATGGGCTTTGGCTGAGCGATTCGTGTTGAGATCCATCCCGACTTGAGATGTTGGTACCAGAGGCTTTGGTGCCGGACCAAGAGGACAACCCGCAGAGCTCATCCCCAAGGAGCAGTGATCCTTGCCCGGAGCAGCCGCAGTACTCAGAGGCTGGAAGGAGGCCTTCTTCCCCAGATGCAGGCTCTTCTCGTCCTCCTTGAATACGAGCAGGCTTTTTTGTCTCAAGTTTCTCAGAGTGCTTCTCCCACGTGGGACCCTTGTTTAGCCCATCTGCAAATTTGGTAAGGATGTGCTGTGCCCCATCATCCATCACTGACAAAGACAACAAGTTGGGCTCTGGTGTTGGCCACTGGGCTTCTCCACTTGTGGCTTGCAAGCAGCAAGTTCCTGAGGAGCTCGGGCTGCGATTCTTACAGAAGGATTATCCTGGAGCTGTCATCCTGCTGTGATCTTTTGGAAAAATAACAGCTCGATGCCCAGTCAAAGGAACAAATTGCACAGCAACAATTACGAGGAAAGGGAAACAGAACAAAACCAAACCGCATTGTGACTCTGTGCAAATCTGCCGTGTGCTTGTGCACTTCTGATCCCACCTCTCCAAAGAAAAGCTGGGAGAACCACGAAGGCTCAGGGACAGTTTCTGTATGGGAAACTGCATGGGCCAGATCTGTTCCCATTCAAAACACTACCATAAAGGGCTGAAGTCATGGCTAGCTGGGGGAAGTCACTGGGGAGCAGCATCTCTCTGTCTCTCCCACTAGAGGAGACGGCTACAAAGAATTAGTATTATCAAATAAAGCAACTAGGAGCCAAACACAAGTCCCAAGTTCTTCCCACTGCACACAATTGGGCCGTAAAATGTTCCTCCAGGACGTGTTCGATGCTAAAGGCTTACACAGTTCCAGGGGGACACTGGCCAAGAAATCCTCTGAGGATCACTGACTACTTCAAAGGGACGCCAGGCTTGGGCAGTCCCTGAGCCACGTGTAGACAAGGACTGGGAAAGTCGGATATCAAAGGCGTTTGTCGTGATGAAATCCCTCCCGAAGATGGGCTTTTAGGCAGCATCAAAGCCAGGATGCTGGCCTGCCCGCAGTGATTAAGCACTGTGAGACATCAGAGCGTGTCCTCCAGAACAACAGAAGCTCACTGCGCTTGCTATGGGTATTTACAGAATAATTTCTCCAGTTCCCATTGGAGCTGACGGTCTCCTGCCACCCCTCTCTGGCTTTGCTAATAGCAATCTGCCTGCAGTTGTGCCTCGCTTCTCAATCTGCAGGGATGTGATGGAGGTCACCCCGTGTTTCCTTTGCCCTTGCTGGCCTTTCAAGGGGGCTGCCACCCCAAAGATCTGCAGTCACAGCGTGGCTTGTTTCTCTGGGCACCACAGCGCTGGTGCTGCCAGATTCCACCTCCTCTCATTTCCTAACAGCTTCTAGCACAGTGAAAAGTAGTTGGATTTTATTTCTTCTTATAATTGATAAATCTGTTCAAGTTTCTTTCTCCAAGCCCCAAATTTTAGTCTGTGGTTTGAACTCTGGTGCCCTTCCCAGTGAGAGGCATCTGTCCTGTTTGCAACCCCCTCCTTTCCCTGCCTGGCTGTGGGGACCGGTGCCCCACGCAGCCCTGATGCTGTGTTTCCCTGCTGCTGCCTCTGATGCCATCCGGGCTCTTGGTGGTGAAAAAGCCAGAGGTGAGATGGCACACACCATGGGGATGTGTATGTGCTGGGGATGGGGAGCGTGGGCAGCCCTGCCTGCCTGAGCTGGCTGAGGGCGAAGCCCAGCCCCAGCTCCATGCAGAACTATCCCAGGAGTGGGATTTCACAGGATCACAGCATGTCAGGAGTTGGAAGGGCCCTGGAAAGCTCCCCCAGTGCAACCCCTGCCACAGCAGGATCACCAGAGCAGTCACACAGGAACACGGCCAGGGCTTTGGGTGTCTGCACACAAGGAGACTCCACAACCTCTCTGGGCAGCCTGGGCCATGCTCCATAACCCTCACACTGACAAACTTTGGCCTCATCTTCAGCTTGAACCTCCTGTGCTCCAGCTTGGGACCACTGCCCCTTGTCCTGGCATTGGCCATCCCAGAGCAGAGCCTGGCTCCTTCCTCCTGACACTGCCCTTTCCCAATGGATCCCCAGGAATGAGGGCACCCCTCAGGCTCCTCTGCTCCAAGCTCAAGAGCCCCAGCTCCCTCAGCCGCTCCTCAGCACGAGATGCTCCACTCCCTCCATCATCTCTGTGGCCCTGCTGGACTCTTTCAAGCAGTTCCTGTCCTTCTGGAGCTGAGGGCCCAGCACTGGACACAAGATTGCAGCTGTGGTGTGAGCAGGGCAGAGCAGAGGGGCAGGAGAACCTCTCTGCCCTACAACCACCCCTTCTCATCCAGCCCAGGATGGCGTTGGCCTTCTTGGCTCAAGGGATTTGCTGGGTACCTTTCCTCCTTGGACGTGGGCAGGGTGACACAGCCACGTGAGGCCAAGGGTGGCCGTGCTGGCTCTGGGCAGCTGCTGCCACGCTGCTATCGGCAGCGATTAATGCTGAGCTGACTGCAGGCCTCTGCAGAGCCGAGCGGGAGGGATGCTGAGCTGCAGGGCAGGATTCTCAAGCACATGAGCAACAGCGAGCTCCCAGGGCTCTTCCCTGGTTAATTCAGGCTGGCATTGCGAAAACGTGCTTGGAGGCCCTGCAGGCGAGATCTCTGCTTATAACAGTCCTTGCTCCCTGCCCACCCGTGGCCGCTCCAGGGCCGCTGAAGCTGTCGCTGTCTGGTTTCAGAGCCGTGTCCCTCCACCCTGCTGCAGCGGCACATGGCAGACCTGCTCCGCAGCGACCGCGACCTGGCCCCCAGCTTCCTCAACAGCGTCCTCAACCAGCTGAACTGGGCTTTCTCCGAGTTCATTGGCATGATTCAGGAGGTGAGTAAGGGCCAACCAGGGCTGCAGGCTCTGGCACTCAATTGGTCCTCATGTCCTGCACGCAGCGGGGTTCAAGACACAACTCTTGGGGTCGGGATTGCAGTGATTCCTTGCCACGCATGGTAGCTGAGCTGGGGGTTATGGCCCTCTTTTGGGAAAGGGGCACCTTGTTAAGCTGTCTCTGTTGTTTTGACAGATCCAGCAGGCAGCAGAGCGCTTGGAGAGGAACTTTGTGGACAGCCGCCAGCTGAAGGTGTGCGCCACGTGCTTTGACCTGTCGGTGAGCTTGCTCAGGGTGCTGGAAATGACCGTCACGCTCGCGCCAGAGATCTTTCTGGACTGGAATCGCCCGTCGTCAGAGCTGCTGCTTCGGAGGCTCGCCCAGGTATCTCATATCTATATATGTATATTCTCACATATGTGTATTCTCATGAGATGTGAAGAAGTGTCCTCTGAAGGGGTGTGGGGCCCTCTGTCCTCTCTCCAAATATGCTGCGAACTAGGGGCTCCTGCTGCAAGTGCTGTGGTACTTAAAGCTGCTATGGCAAACCCAGCTCCTGCAGAACAAGGGGTGCTCCCTAAAATCCCTACGTGTCAACTGCTCCCCTCCTTTGCAGCTAGTCTGGCCACAGCTGATTTCTACCTCTACCAGGAGGGAGTATAACGACCCCTTAAATCTTCCTTCAGAGGGTCTATGGCTGGTTTCTTGCACCCAGTAAATACTGAGTGCTCCTGTGACAGGCAGTGCCATGAAATCTGAAGAGGAGCTGTGGTAGCAAGAGCTGCAGAGAGTATAGCTGGCTTCACAGTGATTAGGCAGGGATATCTTGGTTCTTTGTCCTTCAGTCCTAGACTGTGGTATGAAACGTCTCTGCTTCTCTGCCAGGGTGACCGAGACAGCCCCATCCTAACCCACAACACCCCTTAGGCTCCAGTGAATTCATTTCTCTTCTAAAATATGAGCAGTCCTGGAAAGTCCTGAGGGCTCCACTGCGAGGAGGAAAGCGAGGGGCTCTTAGCAGGTGGTTTGGGCGGGCTGGGGAATAGCCAGCAGAGTGCAAGGTGCTGCAGCATCCTCCTCACATCCTGCTGCTGCCACGAAGCAGTGCCCACCACTGAACGTGCCCTCAGAGGGGTGCAGAGGTCTGCTCTTCATGCATGAGGGCAACAGGAAGAGGGGCCCTGCAGCTGGGAGCCAGTGCACAGCTTGCAGCAGTTGTGTCAGGCCTGGAGTAGGCCCCGCTCATCCCACTGGGGTTTGGGTGAGAGCTAATGGTGGCTTAATTAAATGTCTTTACAGTTGATTCCTTCTGTGCTGGTCACAGCCAGAAATCTCTGCCTGCGGTGATGCTCTGTCAAGCAGAGAAGCAGACTGCTCTGCTGCCAGCTCCAGGCAGGGCAGGACCTGAGCTGTGCTTCACCCCAGACACCGCTTTTCCCTGCAGCAGCTACCAGCTCGTTCTTCGTGGGCTGTGGCTGTCCTAGGGACTGGAGCTTCTGCTTGCCAAGAGCTTTTATCTGCAGAAATAGCTTGGGATCTGTAGGTGAGATTTAGAGTTAGGTGGAAGATGCTGAGATTCGGGTGTCTTGACATCAGACTGACTTTTCCCTGGGAGGTTTGGGTCTGGTACAGCCACTGTGGTGTGGTGCCTCCTCCCTCTATGCCAGGGCCGAGCTAGGACTGTGCTGTGAGCCTCCCAGACGCTGGGACTGAGCTGTAAGGACACGCTGCCCCAAAGCATGGCCTTTGGGTGCTGCTCGCAGGAAGGCCCGTCCAGAAGATACAAACCCTCTCTGCTTTTCCCTTCACAGCTCTTGAACCAGGTGCTAAACCGTGTGACAGCTGAAAGAAATCTGTTTGACAGAGTGGTCAACCTCCGTCTGCCAGGTGAGTCCGTGCCTTATCTCTGTCCCTCTCCACTGAAAACGGGCTGGAGACATGGCCTTGGGGATCGGGGGGTGGCTCGGACCACAGGTCAGGGCAGAGGTGTGCGGGGTCAGACCTCAGGCCTGCCACATCCCTGGCTGGGACGCTAGTCTGGTGCTGTGCCCTGCCACAGAAGTGCTTCAGAAGTCTTCAGAAGACTTTGTAAATCCTCCAGGCAGAGCTGAGCTTCACTGCTCTCGCTAGGCCCTTGGCCTCTGTCTGACCAGCGGCTCCGGTTCCCTCCAGGATCTCTGTCCTTGTGAGGCAGCTGATGCACGGCTCTGGCTGCCCGTGGTGGAAGGGGTGACCGTGATGTGCTTGGGCAGGGAGGTGCCTTGGTGGATACAGGTGTGACACAGGTTCAGTGGGAGCTGCTTGAAAGGCTCAAAGCCCTGGATGGATTGCTCTTGAGGCTTGGAGGGGGCGAAGGTGCTCCACTGCGAGAGCAGTGCCTGAGTCTGGGGTTCACATTAAGTAAGGAGGACTCCTCTGTCCTTGATGAAACCCATGGCCCCACTGGAGAGCCCAAGCTGTGGTCCCTACCTCCTGGACTTCTCTACCACCAAGTCTGGAAGTAGCGGTGCAGCCCTGCTCCGCCTGTAGCAGTGGCTTTATTTTCCTGTTTTGCTTCCGCAGGGCTGGAGAGCGTGGACCATTACCCCATCCTCGTGGCCGTGACGGGGATACTGGTCCGGCTGCTTGTGGACACCGATGTGCAGGGGTGAGTGGCTATTGACTTAGGAAACGGAGTCGCCGCACGTGGCGTTGCTTTGCGTGCTGCAGGAAGTGCAGTAAGCTGACCTGGTGGTTTATGCCTGTCTGTGCCTGTTGGTACTGAGTCCTGAGCCTGTGCTCATGGTGCTCCCTGCTGCAGCCCTGCCTTTGCTGTCTCCCAGTGTCATTCGTAGGTGTCTTGCCCGGCCACTGTGCCCTGTAGGATGCTGTAAGAGATGGGGCTCTTCTGCCTGCGCTGCGCATCCTGCTTGTTTTGGCGTTTGGAGAACATGATAGTCTCTGGCTTTCCGGAAAGCAGAGCCCCATCTGGCCGAGCTGCTCAGCCCTGCAGCCAGTCTTTCAGCTTCTTCTCTCAAGGACTCAACGATGTACACAAATACATCTAATTTTATCCTGCCTCCCGTGGCTGCTGTGCCAGTCTCACAGCCCCAAGTGTGACAGTGCCAAGAGCTTAGCACAAGGTCATTGATTGGTGGCCTTGCTGGACTGTGGACGGGGGTGGATTTCGCTCACCCCCAGAATCCAGCTCCCTGGAAAGGGCAAACATCATGGATTTGATGTGACAACTGTACACTTCTTCCTGGAAGGAAGAGGAGAGGTGGTAAAGCAGTTCCCTGCATGCCAGGCGGGACGAGAAGTCCTTCCCTGGCTCCCTGGCCCTTGAATAGCTGTCCCAGACCAGGTCACTTGTAGAGTCAAAGAGGGGAAGGAATAAAGCTCTTTCGCTGTCCCTCAGTTCAGCAAACCCCAAAGAGCACTGGGAAGATGGTAGAGGGATGGAAATCACATCCTTCCCAGCCCGCAGGGAGTCCTGGGGGCACAAAAAGCTTCCAGGCTGTGTCTGCATTACCTGAAAAGCCAGCTGTGCTTTGGGTCAGGGCAGCCCAGGCAGCTGGTGTTAAAGGGGCTGTGCATGGCCAAGCCGTGGGCTGCACGGTCACAAACCAGAGGTGCTGTATCCCGTGGTGTGTGGCTGGGAAGTGGTAAGTCTCTGATCTCCAAGGGCTTTGTAGTCACTTCCATGAGCACGGGAAAGCAGAAGTAAATACAAAACAGGGGAACACTCTGGACAAAGCATCACATCCTTATGGTGGACCTAGCTGAGCAAGGTGAAACAGGAGGAAGCTTGGGGAAAAATGTCTATAAAACAAAATGCTTCTATGCTATTCTGCAAAGCCCTGCAATAAACCTGAGGTTTGATACGTCACTGATCTATAAAAGGCAGGCAAGCATTGCAGGGGAGCCATTGAGGTCAATCAAGACAGGAGAACCAAGGCTGAGCAGCTTGGAGACCCTCTGCTGCAGGCTGGTGGCACAGCTCAGCGTGTGGGTGGGCAGAGCACCCGGCATTGAAGGGAAAACTGAGCCACCCCCGATCTTTGCAGCACTCAGAACTGAGGACCAGGGGGATGAGTGTGGTACCCCGCTCGAGGGATGGTTCTGGCCCATGCAGGCACGTTCAGCCAACAAGGATGGGGTGGAGAAAAGCACCAGGGTGCTGAAGGCTGAGGGGGTGCAACTGGAGTGAGCTGAGCCTCTATGGAGATCTCCTCACAGTCACCCAAAAACCAGGGAGGTGGCACAGGTCAGTGATGGGTGATGCAGAGCAGGGCGATGGGGAGCGTGAATGAGTAAGAGGATGGTGCGTGGAAAAGCAGAGTTCAAACCTTCCCTGAGTCCGTATGCTCCCGTGGGGGGTGATTGCCATGGGTTGTGTTGCTGTAGGAGGTAAATGAAGAGGTCAGACCCATTTTATATAAACCCAAGAGGAAACTGAGGACAGGGGATAGGACTCAGAGTGACCTCCTTGGCTTGCCTGTGGTTTTTCCGCTTCCCTCCAACCCAGCGAGCCGACGCTTCTTGGTTGGAAGGTTCTGCAAGCTTTGCCCTGGGATGGAGAGGACAGGTTCATCCAGGGGTGCAGGAGGGAGGTCCCATTTCTAGGACCAAAAGGTTTCAGCAGGGAAGGGTGGGAGTACAGATGAGTGCTGCCAACTCATCCAGCCGCCTTACCAGGATGCAGTTGGCTGCCTCGGCTGCTCCTTGCCCAGCACAGGGTGCTCAGCCAGGCATCAAGTCCCCTTGCTGTGGACTCCTGGCACCGAACAGCACCATTAAGCATGAGGAAAGGGAAGGTTTGCCCGGGCTGGGATGTGATGAGAGTGTCGATCCATCACACGCTTTAGTCTTCGAGTGGAGAGGGCTGTGCTTTTCAAAGAGAAGAAACACATCTCCTCCACGGGTCTGGCAGGATGGTGGGTGCTGCTTGTGGTGAAACAGAGCTTCAGCACCCACCTCGTCCGGGCTTACTGGTCTTTGTAAAGCCTCCATGGGTCGCTTACCACAGCTTCCAAATGCTTGCTGGGGGCTGGAGGGCGGAAAGCAAAACCTTGTGGCTCTAACCAGAGCATCCTTGGAGAGTAAAAGGCTTGAACCAGAGTGGGGCCTGGGGGTTTCATGGCAGGATTCCCTTGCAGGATGTGATGAGCCTTGTGAATGTGCATTAGGACGTTAGCACAGGGAGCATTAGCTAAGGGCACAGACAGGGAGGCTGCTGGCTCAAACTGGAGTCCCTCAGCAGAGGGTCTTCTCGTTCCCGACCAGGAGCTGTGGTGTTTCCCAGCCAGGAGCTGTGTTTCCCAGCAGAGCAGCTGCCCAACCCTCGAGGACTTGCTGGGAAGGAGCTAAACCTCCTCAGCAGGCAGGAGCAGGGCAGCCTGGCACTGGGGGTGGGCTGTTGCACCGACAGGCCGCAGCTCCTTGCCTTAAAACTGTTTTGGCCTCTGCAATCTGCCAGCCCCTCATGACTGAGCCCTGGTTTCGCGGAGAGGAGAGGGAGGGCAGAGTCTGGCAGGGTGAGCCAGTAGTTGGGCTGGAGCATTGGGTCCATACCAGCGACCCTGGCTGCCTTCAGCCGGTATCATCCCCCCGTTTGGCTGCTAAATAATTGAGCAGATTTGCTATTAAGCCTCCTTCAGAGTGAGGTAATGGAGCAACGTTGGCCAGAGCTTGTGTAAGGATCCTGGTGAGAGCAAGCGGCAGGGGTAAGGGGCAGGACCCGACGGTGAGGCTGTTGGTCCCCTGCGTGCTGGGGCACGGTGTAATTAAGGTTGGACCAGGCTTTTTGGAAAGCAAACGGCCCTCTGGAGCAGATGAGCTGTGCTGTGCCAGGGCTTGGCCACTGCTCTGCTCCTCAGGCATCCCCCGTGGACACCATCCCCTTGCAGACAGGGAGAGCAAGGCTGGGCAGTGGTCCTGAGCCCTGCCCATGGCTGGTGTTCTGTGCTTGAGCCTGGAGGGTTTGGGCACATGCAAGGAGCCAGCGAACTTGGCTGTGGCACAGCTTTATGAGAAAAGCAGCCTTTGGGGCGCATCTCCCAGGGACTTCTGGCCTAAAGATGGAGAGGACAGAGGGGAGAGCGCTGTGGTCACCAGGAATGTGGTGGTAACAGCCAGCACAACACAGGATGGGGATCCTGGGCCAGGAACAACCTCCTTGAGCCAGCAGGGCCTGCCAGGAGGAGCACTGGGCTGATGTGATGTTGGGGTCATTCTGGCTGGATCACAGAATCCCAGAATGTGAGGAGTTGGAAGGGACCTGGAAAGCTCCCCCAGTGCAACCCCTGCCAGAGCAGGATCACCAGAGCAGTCACACAGGAACACGGCCAGGGCTTTGGGTGTCTCCACACAAGGACACTCCACAACCTCTCTGGGCAGCCTGGGCCATGCTCCAGAACCCTCACACTCACAAACTTTGGCCTCATCTTCAGCTTGAACCTCCTGTGCTCCAGCTTGGGACCATTGCCCCTTGTCCTGGCATTGGCCATCCCAGAGCAGAGCCTGGCTCCTTCCTCCTGACACTGCCCTTTCCCAATGGATCCCCAGGAATGAGGGCACCCCTCAGTCTCCTCTGCTCCAAGCTCAAGAGCCCCAGCTCCCTCAGCCGCTCCTCAGCAGGAGATGCTCCACTCCCTGCCTCATCTCTGTGGCCCTGCTGGACTCTCTCAAGCAGTTAGCAAGATCTCCACATCCTTCTCCTTTGCGCAGTACAGGTGGAGTCTTTGCTGGATCATGGGCAGTACTTCAGTGTTGCAGTGCATGCTGTATTGGGCAGAGCATGCACCAAAGCACGGGGGAATGCCTAGCTCAGACTTGGGTGTCAGGGTTATAAAAAGGCATCTGACTTTACTGATCTTACAGTTTTTACAAGCTGCCAGCTCCAAACACTGCATCCTGAGCAGTGGGACCACCAAGGCTGGGGTCTTTTGGCCTCCTTGGGGCTGCTGAGCAGATGCTGGGAGTCTTTGCTGCTTCCAGCTCCCTGGAAAACTGTGAGCATCCTAAGGAAGGGATCCAGGTCCAACCACGTACATCATGGTGTGTCCAGCCCTGGCGGCAGGAGGACAGGAAGGGCCTGGCACTCAGCACTCTCGTGTCACCCTGAAGTGCCAGGGTGGGACACAGGAGTTGGCATCAGAGGCTGGTCCCCAAATCCGGTCCTTCGCCCCCTCATGCGTGCTGGGGACGCCGTGCTTTGTGCTGACCCATTCCTTTACCCTGCGGAGCCAAGGAGGCTGCTTTGGCAGCGAGCCGGGGCTGTAATGGTGCAGATGGAGGCTGAGAGAGGGCGACGTATTCCTTGGGGACCATCCATTATGTTTCCCAACTCCTGCCTGTCAGGGAGGCTGTGCTTGCGGCTATGTTTTTCCTTTGCTGAGCTGCTTTGCCTTTCAGGCTGCTTAATGAACTGCCTCAACGGTTCAAACTGCCTGGCCTTGCTTGTTGGAGCAGCGATGTGGCTGAGCGTCGGGAGGCTGTGAAACACAGCAGCAGGGTTTTCCTGCAGAGAGACGGTGGGGAGCCCTCGAGATCAACACCAGTACAACCCTCAGATAACACCAACATGGTGAGGCTCTGCTTCCTGCAGCCAGCCTGGAAGAGCTCTCCTTGGCTTCTCCAGGCTGCTGTGTCCCTGGAGAGGCCCTGGGGA